CAATTTTATTATTTTTTTGAATTGTCTATTTTTGTTATTGTTTATGTGTTGATAAGCCTGAGTGGTCTGCTGACTGATTTTTGTATTTGTTCAAATAATTGTTATGGTCAGGTTACAATATAAAAAAGTTTGTTATAATCATGTCTACTGATTATTTAACAGGAGTTTAACTTTTAAACTGTAAGTGTATTTAATTTAGTTATGCTAGTTATGATAGTTAAGTTATGATGTAAATACAATAAAAATTAAACCAAGATTAGAATAATAATCATTTTGATCCGTATGGTAATGTCTGACTGGGCCTCATGACACTTTATGTTCAACAAATTGAGCCCCGAGGTCAAAAAGTTTAAGAAGCCCTGATATAAATGATGTGTAAAAAAGGGGGTCTGCAGATGTTTTTGATAAAATGGTTAAAGTTTGGTAGAAGACACATCCAATTAGCTCAGTTTTACAATAAAATCAGTCTTGCTTACTGTTTTGCAGTTAAAGAGCTGTGAGTGTTAGAAAGATAAATGTTTTCTCACTTGTGGGGCAGAAACCAGGGGGMGTTTTATCTTCTTTAATGTGAAACTGGTACATTTAACTAAATGTATCAAAGTGGACAGAAAGTAGTGAATCAAACTGTGAATAAACGCTTGCACAATCATCTGTATTAAAACTAACTCTGAGACTAAAAACTTGTGTCGATTAAATTTTAGGTTTTTGGTTTTAGATCAGAGTTTTCTAAAATCACAGAATAGAGCTTTGGAAAYGGAACCTTTTATTTTCAGTTGTATGGACGTGTCATCTGTACAAATCAAAAACAGAAAACAGATATCTAAATTAGGGCTGCACGATATTAGRAAAACCTGCGATATGCGTTAACAGTGCTTAATATTGGGATGACAATATGACTTGTGTTAAATGAAAAATATGCATGTGTGTGTAGTGTTTACGTATTTCTGCTCTGTTCAAAGCCCCAAAACAAACATAAAAAAACAATCATTTCCATTMCAGCCTGATTTTTTTTAATTGACCAAATACATGAAGGCTTTATTTGATTGGTGGAATATTTTAAGCTTCCATCTGAATGACAAAACGCATAAATGCAAATTTTTGAGTCAACCATTTATTGCAGTTTATGCAGTTGTTGCGATATGCATTTTGCACAGGCTATTCTCACGATGATGATAAAATGTCAATATATTGTGCAGCCCTAATCTAAATGCAGTGTTGAATAAAATACCTCAAAGTGACACTTGAGCAAAAGTACAAATATCTTACCCTAAAATTATAGCAATAACAATAACAATTATATATAATGGTTGAAATTTTCACCTTTAGTATGTAGAGAATGAGGAGAAGTCAAAAGTCGCTGATGAACAAATTACTCATGCAAAGGACAGAAAACCTAAATTTCTACTTAAGTCCAGTGGCAAAGTATTTGTACTTAGTTACTTTACAACTCTGTCTAAATGTGCGATTGCTGAGTCAGCATTCCTTCTGTTTTCTGTCTTTTTTTGGTAGGACAGAGCTGCTGCTGTGAAACCAACAACAAAAACCAAACTGCACATTTTTCCTCCGTGTCTGAAACCTTCTTCCTGCAGCAGTGAGATGGGAAGAGGAGGAGGAGGAGGAGGAGGAGGAGGGGCATGAGACGGAGAGGAAGTCACCAGTCAGATTTGATGTTGCAGAAATGTATCTGAACCCACTGAGTCATCATGACACCAGCGCTCATTTCATCTTTGAGCATTTGTTGCCAAACTGCATCTCTGCACAATGAAAGGAGACGCTGAAACGCAGCGACTGAGAGGCAAATGGATTCATTTTAAAGACGCAGAGGTGTCTGACAAATAGACGTCAACGTCGAGGAGGAGTGAACGCTGTGGAAAAACAGCCGAATGAATTACAGCCATGAGTTCTGTTCCAGCAACATGTCTGAATCTGATAGATGACTAATAAACACAGAGAGGGGGAGGCAGGAGAGATGGAGTGTGATTATAGCAGACAGCAAAGAGGCTGAGAGAGAGAGAAATGCAAATGATGAATAAAAATAGATTCAGCACAGCTCCTCTTCTCTTTTGTAGCTTTTTGTCCACTTTCTTCATTTGTCTTCTGGATCTGTCCCATTTCTCTATTTCCCTTCTTACTGTTTGTCTGTTTTTAGATTATTTTTTTCTGAGCTCATTTCAGAGACGATCTCCTCATACAGTATAGATTACCAGAAGCCTTTCTAGCTGCCTGACTCAGAATAAAATCGGGCTACTTGAGTTTAAAAAGCCTGCCGAACGCTTTGATCTTAGGCTGGTATCACCAGCAACACGTCCTGAAGTGTGTGTTTGTGCTTCCAGGACACTTTGGAAAAGTGAAAACACTGATTCTAACTCTGACAGGGAGCAACATCTGGATTTGAATGATGTTTAGTAAAGGTTAGGTGGAGGTTTCAGGGGGGCTGACTTGGAGCTAAGATCTCCAGCAGGAAGTCCACCTGATCTGAAGCTGCAGCTGCAGAGCTCCCACTGACCTCTGAAGAGTGGTCCTCTGATGTTCCAACATCGATTTAATCAATGCTCTCTTTGTGGTTTTGAGATATATATATATGTACTCACCGGCCACTTTATTAGGTACACCTGTCCAACTGCTCGTTAACACTTAATTTCT